GCCCTTTCCGAGGGTGGGTGGGTGTGTGTGCGTGGAGAAAAACAGAAAAACACGGCTTGATGACGCCGCTCAATCGATTCGTCCTTCTTCTGCTGATGATGGCGATGAGGCCATGATTGAGTCCGACTGCTGAATGAACTACACACAGAGTCAGCCCCAAGTACGTAGTTTCCAGCAGCAGTAGAGCAATGTATATGTCGTGACAGTGACAGCAGAGATGCTGAGCAGTGCACACATCTCGTGCAGACTGCCGAGCCCGACGTCAGGAGGCCGGCACGCCGGCACATGCACTTCACATATTTTCACATAATATCCATCCGATCGGCTGCGGGCTTTCAACCCCCAAAAACCCAGAAACTACTTATTTTTGCAGCAAAAATCCTCCCGAAGGATATCTTTAGAGTATCGATGAAAAAGCTCGTGGCGGTGTCAGCAGAGATGCAGAGCAGTGCACACATCTCCGTGCAGACTGCCGAGCCAGAGGTCGGGAGGTCGGCATGCACATACATACACACATCCATCCGCGCGGCTGTGGGCTTTCAACCAAATTAAATCCAGAAAAAACCGTTGAAAATGTTGCGAGCTCGCGCCGACCTGCCGCGAATCCTTTGATACGAAGCTATCTATCTATGCGTACGTATTATTTACTGCTGTCGTTTCTCTGCTGGTAGCTTTTCCCATGTTCTTGCACCACCCCTTGTCGCGGTGCTCTCTTTACCCCACTCCGGACGCCTTGTAACTTAAGGCTATTGGGGCAGAGAAAGGCTGATATTGCACTTTGTCTAATGGAGCAGGGAGGCTGCTATTGTACCACGTCATCAACTCGTTGATTTGATTGCTCACAGGTTGCGATCTGCAGGGCAAGCGTCCAGCTGTCCTTGTCCAGGAATTGCGCATCATCGATTACAACCTGCACAGAAAGCAAAGTTGACATCGACATCGATATCCTCATCAATTGACATTGACAGCATCAACAGTATTAACATCGCCAACAGACACCACACCAGCAGCAACGGCAACAACAACAACAACAACAACAACAGCGGCCATCATCATCAATATCATTGACATTGACATTGACAGCGCCAACAACAGCAACGGCGACAGCAATACCGCAAGCAGCAACCGCAGCAGTCATCATCCAACAGCCCGAACCCGAACCGTCAGCAGGATACAAACGAGGACGAGAGCCCTCTCCCCCCTGTCCTTCGTACTCAGCACCCGACGACCTGCTCTAGTTTTCCCAACCCCCACCGTGCGCAGTTTTCACACGCACCAGCACCAGCACTTCAGGAACGCACAATTGAAATGCTGACCGAAAAGAAAAAACGGCCGAAAAAAGGCTCTCTCTGCCGGAACATAAAGGAAGGAGGCCAACTCACGATACGGGGCTTGCTGGCGGCCATGCTCTTGACCAGCTGCAGCAGGATCGACAGCTTGACCCTCTGCTCGTGCCCCACGCTGGTGCTTTCGTCGAAGTCCGAGCTGTCCGACTCGTTGCCGTTCATCCCGTCAGCGTTCATGGATGAGGAGGCACTGCAACACAACAGAAGGCCGGGGGGGGGGGGGGGGGGAAAAAAAAGGGGGGGGGGGGGGGGGGGCTTTCCCCCTCCCC